TTCATCTTTGATGTTTTCAAAAGACTATCTACACTTCTTTTCCAATTCGTCGCACATGAGGTTTTATGGAATTCATCTTCTTTCCTTTCTCCGGGCTTTCGGTACCCACCCGCTTTGTCATTTTCAGGCTTGTGCGGGAAGGTTCGGACTTGTCCTTGCTACCTTAGGATCGATGTAATTGAGAAGATAAACCATGCTCCTACTTCCGTCCCCGTGTTCGGAAGTAACCACTAGTGATAGGGCAAAAATCGGGGGGAAGGACAAAGGAAATAAGAATATGGAAAATTTCATTTATGAATGCCTGGATGGACAGTTTTCAAGCAAGCCTGCGATAACAAACTGTTAGTAAGGTCAGTTGTTGTTGGCTTTGGCATGAAGCTCACAAACAGCAAATCCAAACTAAAACATGCGCATGAGGGATTCAACACAAAGCCCATGGAAAAAAGTTGAAGAACACTCCATGAACTTCCAACCCAGAAAAACCAAAAAAAGGGAGAAACCGACAGAAATCTGAAAGATAAGGGAAAGTAGTAACTTACTCATGGTGGCTAGATTGGTTGAACTCTGAAAAAGCTTGAAGTCGCCGGAAAGGGAGAACGCCGGTGAAGCCGAAAAGCGAAGATCGTCGGGGAGCCGAAGGAAGCTTGAAGATTGAAGAGTTTGAGAGCGCAAAAAGTGATTTGATGAGAATCTGAAGTGTATTTATACACGAGGGCGATGGGCGTTGACCGTTGGATCAGCAAGAGAACCAACGATCACGATGAAGAGCGGAATTCGAAGAGTCGGCAGTTGAGGTGACGCGCGCCACTTCATGATTTTCGAAATTTGAAATTCAAAAAGGGTGTCAGAACATCATACTTATCCGAAAAAGCAATCATAAGAGGTTAAGGTGTTTCTCAATCAACTGACGAGACGAATTATCGAAGGAGGGTTCAAGCAGATATCGCAGGAAGACGTGACACTCAACCACTCGTCACCAAATTTACTCTTAAGCAGTCGACTGCTTAGAGTAATTTTTTTTGGGGGACTAGATGATATAACCATATAAGGATATTCCGGTCCAAACGCTCCCTATTCGACCGGGGAATTGCTCAAACTACTCGCATGACGACATGAATCTGTCGACATGCTCAAGTCGACTTCCTCAAAGTGAACTCTTCACAAAGATGGGTAATGAGAAGTGGTGAATATCATACAAGTCGACCCGCTGAAATTGACTTGGTGAAGTCGACTCCCAAATAGTCGACATTTACTTGAGAAGACCAACAGGAGTGTAGCCTCCGAGTAGCCAGATCCGGAGTCGACTTGTCCATGCTCGATGTCGACTCCTCCTACCTCGAGACGTGAGGCACACTAACGACTTAATACACTTGTAGCACACTCAGGGCTCTGCATTTTCCAAAGGATAAGAAGGAATCTTATGATGAGTCAGCAGCAAGGGGAGACGAATCGACCAGGGCAAATTAGACCTTACAGGTCAGCCGATCAGGATATTTCGGGTACTTCAAGTAAGTATTCACTCCTATATAAAGGAGACGAGGTAACCCCAAATCCTAACTCTCATTCATTCTCAACTCTCCCTCATAGCTGTTGCGCAGCCTCTCTTCATCTCTCTCATACACTGACTTGAGCGTCGGAGGCTCTACGCCGGAAACACCTCCAGCATTGAGTTTTTGCAGGTATTCCCGCGGTCTAGCAACAGTTCGAAGGCGATTCAAATAGATCTGAGCTCCTTACCACCGGTTCACTCCGGATCTGAGAGTAGACCCATCAAGTTAATTCATTATAAGCATGATGTACTTAAGAGTTTTCAGGCATCTACGCTCGTTGAATTATGCCAGAAATTAATAGAGGGTGGTAGATCGAAAGTGTATGTTATGTTAATTAGATTGATCCATCTAGTTTTGATGTTACTGATTTCTACTGCTACAAAAGAATGAGCTTTTTCAGCCATGAAGCATGTGAAGACAACACTTTGTAACAAGATTGGGGATGGTTTTCTGGAAGATTGTTTGATTATCTTCATCAAACCGGAGTTTACTAATAGTATAAGTATAGATTCTATTATTGATTAATTTTATTCTATAAAAGCTCGTCGACCACAACTTCAGTAAATATTTGAAGAAAAAATATTATGTGATTTTTATGAAAATGAGGATTTAAAATTCTAGCCCAGTACACGATTAGCCGGTCCAAAATCATCGCTAAACATACTTTTACATATTTATAGAATCTATATATATATATATATATATATATATATATATATATATATATATATATATATATATATATATATATATATATATATATATATATATATATATATATATATATATATATATATATATATATATATATATATATATATATATATATATATATATATATATATATATATATATATATATATATATATATATATATATATATATATATATATATATATATATATATATATATATATATATATATATATATATATATATATATATATATATATATATATATATATATATATATATATATATATATATATATATATATATATATATATATATATATATATATATATATATATATATATATATATATATATATATATATATATATATATATATATATATATATATATATATATATATATATATATATATATATATATAATAAGAATAACCATTTACTACAAATAGTAGTCAAAATTTTTGGAAGCATTTAATGCATATCTTTTTTAGAAACTTTGTAAATATATGCATTATTTGTTTCTATATACACGTTTTCAAATAAGATCAAATCAGATATGATCAAAAATATTGTTTCCTTAAATAATTTTATTAATATCTACAATAATTTCATTGATATCCATTATAATAAATTACATGATTGATTTTACGTAATTCGTGTTGATAATATGTTGGTCAAGATAAATATTATAACATATTTTAAGTTCTAACCTTAATGTTAATTTTTTTCACAAATATTTACTTTTTATCTAAAATTATTTATAGAAAATAGTAACATGTTAGGTAGAATTTCTTATTCCAATTAATCAGGCGAAATCAAGTGTGTGAATTCATCTTTGCCAATATATTTTTTTCTTAAGCTTTATTTCGTTATATGTAAAAAAATAAATTATTCTTCAAATTTATATAATTTACCATTTAAGAGATAATGGCCAGATACATTAAATAGTTTTACTAATGGTCAAAAATTATAATTGAAATATATTAACTGTTCAAGAATTTATTTGTATATTATTGGAAACCATGTTTTTTTATTATTTTCTTTTATTTTAATTTCTTTCTATAATGAAATTCTTGTAAAATATGTTTTCATTGCAGAGTATGCTAAACAAACTATAAATCCTTATAATGCAAATTAGAAAAATCTTGATTATAAAATAGATTGAGTTTTTGACATTTGCTAAATCAAAATTGTTTAATTAGTATACAAAATTAAATTGTAAAAACACATGTGTGCATATTTTGTAAAATATTTATACACTATTTAATTTTAAATTTATTTACATGTTTTAAATTGATTACATAAATAAATAATACTAACGTGCATTAAATATTTTCAAGAAAAAGAAGACGTACAACTTCTATAACTTTTATAAATAATAATGACATTATATGATAACAAAGTTTACAATAAAATAATAATGACGTATTATACAATGAACAATAATAAGTAAAATTGTTGTTTTCTTTTATATAGAGGAATAAATATATATACTAAAATAAAATTTATATTAGTATAAATATGTTAGTAGAATAATATATTTTTGATTAAAGTTTATTTGCGTCTCTGAAAAACCCTTCCCTGCCCGTCGAGTTCCCTTTGATTCTCAGCCGTCGGCCTTCCCAAGTGTCCATCGAGCCTCGCCGGCGGTCGCCGGCCCTTGGCCGCCTGGCTCCTACCCTTTTTTCTCTGCTCCGCTTTCCGCTGTCCATGGCGATGGGCTTGTTTGTTGCGGACAGTCGTCGTCTTTCCGGCTCTGATTCGGGACTTCCAGGCGGCGACTTCTCTGCTGAGCTGTGTGGTGGAGCCGTAGTGCCGTTCTGGGGGTGGGACGAGACCCAATTGCTCGAAGACCTAGTTTTTTGGGCGATTTGGGAATTGCCGCTGTTTGCAGCCGGCGTTTGCTTCTTCTTCTTTCTTCTGCTAGTGGTGATGGTAGGAGGGGTGAGGCGGCAGTGCGGTGGCTTCGGGCAGCTTCCAGGCGTGATGGGGTTGGGGATGGGGCCGGGGCACTCGCTTGTCTGTTCCGGACAATCAGGTGTTCGGGCCGTGTTGCGGGGCGGCTTGTTTTGTTCCGGGGCTAGGGTTTCGACATCGTTAGGCAACCGAGTGGTTTGGGCAGTTTCGGGGTCGATTCGTCTGGCTGCGGGATTCACAGTCGCCTTGTTTCCGCTGGTTCGGCTAGGTGTCAACACTTTGGAAGGGCTCGTTTAGTTTCGTTAGCTATTTTGTTTTGTCGTTCAGTGTTTTAGTTTGTTGATTAGGATTGTGCTTGTTGTGTTTGTGTTTTTGGTCTGGGCAGTTAGCCTCTGTCTTTGAGCGGGAGCACACTTATTATCCTGTTGGGATCTGCTTCCGTCTCTATTCTCCTGGTGGGAGCCTTGTAGTTTTTCTTAGTGTTGTAGGTTTGTGTTGTGCGTCTTTCGGTTTCTTGCTAGTTTCGGGATTCTAGGCGGTCGTCAGACTTGTCCTCCCATTTTTATTCTCCCGTTGGGAGCTTTGTACTTTTCTTCGCACGTTGTGCGTTTTTGATTTATAATAGTTCTTCTATCGTTTCGGGAAAAAAAAAAAAGTAGAATAATATATTAATTATTTTACAAGTTAGTCCTAACATGCTCATATTTAATGTTCTAACTAATAAAACATTGATTAAAAGATGTAAAAATTAGATTATTAGATTTGAAACTAATGAAAAGAGCTTAAAGACAGAATTATGAAAATAACTCATTTAATATTTTTACCCCACTGGTAATCAACAAAAATGAATTTGTGGTGCTCTGCCACCAAAGGTCCTCAGCCGCGAACTAGTTTCTGGCGTCAGGTGGCATTTTCAGCCTTCAACCATGATTCCTATTCATTCATACATATAAATCTCCCGCGGAAAATGAATATAATATTAAGGATTCATAGTAGAAGCTCCAAGATATGGCGTCTGTTCTGAGCCCGCTTCTGAATTTGCTTCCAATTAGCAAGGTAACATAAGCTATTTCTCCAACCAAGCTCATGTATACATATGCATATATGCGTGTCGTTTTTCGGATAATATATGCTTAGACCTTTGATGGTTTTGTGCCAAAACGAACTGGGTTTTTCAATAAATTTCCGATTTGACGTAAATGATAATTTTGTTAAATTCTTGTTTATCTGTAGCCCCAGAGCTCATGTACTTGACTTGGGTAAAAGTATCCCAAGTGAACAGGAAAGAGGATGCCCATTCTGAGGTTTAGAGTGACTATTGGAGCCAGTAAAATTTAAATTTCCACAAGATTTTGAATTGAAAAACATAAAATAGGTAGATAATTTCTTAAGACAGTGGAATTTTGTATGAGTTCAACATGGTAACTCCTTTCTGAATGAAATGGATGATTGAGTGTGTGAAATTTTATTGAGATTTGTACAGTGGAACTTCAGATGAAAAGAGTGGTTGCAACATATCCCTTCAGCTAGCTATAATGCGCTTTATAAGACAACCCCTTGATTTAGACTTGTGATGAATTGGAATTTAGTAGAAGTAGAATAATTTTATCTACCACTTACATACACAGTATCTTCTTTGTGCTTGCACTTTAATTTAACTTGCAAGATTCTGTTCCATTCTATGATGCCTGTCAAGTTATGTTTCCATAGGGACATGATATGCTTCCCTTAAATGTAATTATACTAGAGTGCTATAGCTCACTCTCTAGAAATCTACTGTGGAATCCCTCTGATTTTTATTTTATTTGTTTTAAGCACAGCTCAAGTTCAATAGCTTTATGTTTGGTTTCATTTCATCTTGAGTTGGCTAAACAACTCTTCACATTCCAGCTTTGGCCTTAAATGAATTGAACTTGCTGATAAAGTAGGATACTAGATTCCTTCTGTGGCAAGGTTGTATGAACAAAATTATGGCAATGGCTATAGTCTGTTCTGTAGATATACTGAGTAGCTCAAGGGAATGTTAAGGTGAAAGCACTATTGCATCTGCTCCCAAGCCCTTAGTTACTTTATCAAATACACACTTTATCAAATACACGATAACTTATTCAAACTTTGTTTCCTAGGTTAATAATGGAAACATCAGAGTTGTTTCAATAAGAACACTGTCAATGAGAGATTGCACACATTTTAGGAAAATCAGGCAGAATTCACGATATTCAGCAATAAAAAATGAAGCATCTTTGGAGACAGACGTGCTCAATAAGGATTCAATGAATGTTGAGGCAGTTGACAGCAAGGATGGTAATTATTTCATCATGTTTCTACAATTTGAATGTTCTTCACATTTCAAACGGCCTATTCTTAAAAGTGCTGTTTATGTTAATAACTGGACTGTGTGTCGACATGGTAATGATCCTTATAGAATTGCTAATGTTGAAAACAATGCAGCTTATAATTGAATTAATTTGGTGTCTCTTATCTCATTTGTTACTCTGGCCAAAGGGAGCAACTGTTGTGTTATTCGCATTTTTCTGAATCAATCACATGATAGATGCCGCTATTTTGTATCTTGATTACAACATGGGTTAACACAATCCATTTCGTCTTATTTCCTTTTCCTTTTCCTTTTCGTGTCTAGGAAAGAAAATACTGAGGAAACTACGAACAGACTTTCAGTTGTAAATTTCTCTAAGTTTGTTTTCTCTAGAATTTCATGTTTAAATTCAAAGCCATTACTTTTCATGATTCAAAACCTTTTTTTTCTTTTAACCCTTCTTAATGTTACATTGGTGATTCCATTTCATGCCATCATTTTCTTTTATATGATTAAGCTTTTAACATAATTTGACAAATGTGGTTGCGTGTTCTTGAAGATTTCGGAGTTGTTGGTGTTCACCATGTTGGGATCTTGTGCGAGAATCTCGAGCGGTCATTACACTTCTACCAGAATATTCTCGGTAATAATCATATGCTGCTTCAAACACTCTTTTAAGTCGATTTGGATTCGCATTTGCCAGATGACAGCAAGCACATGGCTAACAGCTAACTCCTCTTTTTGTTCTGTACTTATACTGAAAATCAGGTCTATCTATAAATGAGGCACGACCACATGATAAGCTCCCTTATAGGGGTGCTTGGTTGTGGGTAGGCTCTGAGATGATACATTTAATGGAGCTTCCAAATCCTGACCCGTTGACCGGACGACCACAACACGGTGGTCGAGATCGTCATGCTTGCATAGCCATTCGTGACGTGTCGAAACTAAAAGGCATCCTCGATAAAGCTGGTATTTGGTTTTACAATATTATCCAATTAGCCGCTCATAGACTTATGTTCAATATTCTCACTACGGTTTTCTGTTTGTCTCCTTTCCTGCGATTTTGTGTAACTTTTTTGTTTTTCCTCTTCTTGGCAATATAAAGGCATTCTGTACACCCTCAGTCGCTCGGGTAGGCCGGCAATCTTTACTCGAGATCCGGATGCCAATGCACTTGAATTTACGCAGGTAGATTAATTTGCTTTTATAGGAATGTCAGGTGTAAAAAGTGTGTTTGAGAGTGTGTGTGTGTGTGTGAGAGAGAGAGAGAGAGAGTGTTTGTGCATATCAGATTTGGCTAGTTGATTTTTTTGTGTCTATGGTCATGCAAATCTTATACGGTTCCATTTTATATAAAGCTAATGCTAATGATTATGTTTGGTTGCAATCCATGATTAGACAAGATTATTTCCCAAAGAATTCCTTAGCTTTAAGTAATAAACAATTTTGAGTTGTTTGGTGCCTAGACTGAAAACGAACCGAACCGAGCCGAGCGCTCTAGTCAAAGCTCGAGTTGAGCTCGAGCGGCTCGAGTAAGAACTTGAGTCGAGCTTGAGCCCATATTTTGTATTGTTGAGCTGCTCGAGATATATGTTAAATTACTAAAATACCCCTTTTATATATATATAGATGTAACATGTGTGCTTAATGGTAATTTTCCCTTTCCATTTAAAAATTTCGAGCCGAACTCGAGCATTTTGATTTCGAGTCGAGCTCGAGCTATTGTAATTTTTTATCAAGTCGAGCTCGAGCCTCATAAATCGAGCACGAGATCGAGTAGCTAAAAAAAAAAAATCAATCTTGCTCGATAAGGCCAATGATCGACTCGGCTCGGCTCATTTGCAGCCATAGGTGCCTGATTAAGATAATGGCCCCGTTTGGTAGATAGCGGATTGAAGGTAAATTAGCGGATTAGACTTAATTGAGAGGTTTGACCCGTCAAATCCGCTATTGAGTCTGTTTGGTAAATAGCTTATTTGATAAGCTTTTTGGGCTCAAACCTCTAATTTAGAAAAAGCTCATTAGAGGAGCTTTTTGGGGATAGAGGATTCACAAAAAAACTTTTTACTTGGAACTTTTTAATTTGTATTATTTATTTTAAAATCTATATTGGTTTATGGTGCTAATAAATAATAATATGTCATCCATATGATTAATTTATCTAGAAAAATGTAAAATTCATAACTTCTTCATCAAGTTTTAGGCAATTTAAAGAAAAAAATAATGTATTTATAAATTACCAACTAAAGAATATTAAATGTTTTAATATATTATTATTAAAAAAATACACCCTAAATAATAAAATATTCTTATTGGTCATTTTGTAATGTCAAACAGCTATAAGCTTTCAGCTATTTACCAAACACTTATTTAAAAACCGCTAATGCAATCTGCTGGTCAAATCAGTTAATATAATCCGCTATCCACTATCCGCTGATACAATCTGCTATCCGCTATCCGCTATCCGCTAATCGCCAAACAAGGCCAATGTGTTTTTACATATATGGCATCAATAATAAATTCATTTACAAATTTTATCCTCCCAGAATCAAGAACTGTGAATCTTAGTGTGATGTACTTTCAATGGATTGGATCCAAACTTTGTTCCGGCTCTACTGATGTTAGTTGACATTTCAGGAGTATACTGTTTTTCAGTTTTTAATATAATTTTATTTTTTTTTTAAAAAAAATCTTAGCACCATAGTACAAGAAGACGTTATTTTATCTTTCATTGGTCAAAAGAAGACCCATCTGCTTGCTTACAATGAGACACCCTTCTTCATTTTTTATTTTTTTTTTTCTTCTTCATTCTGGTTAAGAAGACATTTTTTCATCTTTCATTGATGAAAAGAAGACCCATCTGCTGCCTACAATGCGACACCCTTCTTCATTTTTTTATTTTTATTTTTCATTCTGGTTGAGCATAACAATTTTTCAAATGAGAATGAATTGTTAAATAACGCACAACAATACTATGAAATCTTAGAGCTTCTGTTAACATAACTTGACGGGTGAACCTGCCCAAGTTTTTTTAATGTATAATAAAATACTAAATTAGAAGTGAGATCATATGAGAAAGGGTCATAGTCAAAGAACTAAGAATAATTGCCTACAATTGGATCTATCATATTGGTCATGATCAAGTCAAATTTTAGTAATGATAGTAAAACATTTGATCTCAATATAGTAAATAAGTGAACATATTGTGGTCAAATATATGCATTTGACCACTCGTTAAGGGTTTATTGGTCATTAGCCAAAATCTTACCCACCTGTGGGACCCACCGCACCCCTCACTCTAACACGCCCCGCCCGACACCCCCTACGGCCGTCTCTCACACACACCTACAGACACCACAAACACATAGAACGCTCACACACGTCGGCCACCAGCTCCTCTGTCTATCGCCACCAGCCTCGCCCCCGCACCTCTGTAGCCTGCCAGCCCGTCAAGCTCCGGTCACAATTTATCGCATACACACGTAACATATTCACCGCCGCTAGCTATCGCCACAGTCCGTCGCTACCAGCTCATCAAGCTCCGGTCACAGTCTGCCTCTGTACCGTCATCCCCTCCCAACTTTCGGAAATCGCCTATATACGGGGCTTTTTTTCCAACAAACCGGCCTTTGATGTATCCTCTGACTCCGCAGAGGGTGATTTTTTACGACCAGGAGGATCTCAGGTGGCGACAACAGTGACATGCACAGCTTGGGGACAGCCGAAACAAATATTGTGATCGGGGTTTTGTTTTAAATATTTGAGAAGACATAAGGACCTAATTGCAATTTTATAAATTTTAATATATTACAATTTAGTTTATGGGTCAAATTTGTAATTAATCAAAACATAATTAGTATTTTACTTTTATTATTTAATAATTAATATTTTTATTTTTTTTTTGCTGAAAATAAATAAGATATTTACATAAAAATATAATAATAATTAATGTACGTTTGACCGCCGACCGGCTGGAAATCGGTTTGCGTCCTTCCTCCTCGCCGGTAGAACGCCGCGTACCTGCGAAGAACTCTCACACCGGAGGGGTTTTCCGGTGAAGAGCCTCCGATGCTTAAGTCAGTATAAACTTTACTCAAGTCTCAAGAGTAAAAATGGATAAATCGTGCTCAAAATGTAAAGCTCACCCATATATATAGGGGTGAGATACCTGCCCTAGGAACTTCCCGGGTTAGCTGAGCTGGCTGCCCAAAAGCTGCCTGGCCTGCCCCTCTGTACACACATAGTGTGCGTGTGTCAGAAACTATTATCATCATAGACCAATACATTCGCGCCACGTATCCCCCACACATGGGAAAAGATTCCCCTAAAATCCCGTTGAAGGCTCTTATGCTCGACCGTGTCCAGGTCGATCCTTAAACTGTTTTGAGTCTGTGAAGTGGTCGATCAAATGACCATTTGCTCGGCAGATCGATCTTCGACCAGATCCTCCGTGGACCTAGGACCGACCTGCTCTCCTTGTACTAGAATCCCCCGTACGCTGTTCTCGTGGTGCTCGACCACGATCATTTTGCCCGATTTTATTCGGCCAAGACGGCCTACTCGGCTTGCTTGACTTGTTCGATCGACACAGTAGACCGGTNATAGTAATAATAATAATGATAATGATAATAATAATAATAATAATAATAATAATAATAATAATAATAATAATAATAATAATAATAATAATAGTAATAATAATAATAATACTAATAACAACAACAACAACAATATTTTTTATATAATTCGATCGGTTCGGTTATTTTAAAACGTAAAGTCGTCATTGAATTGACATAACCGAGATTTTAAAAGTAAAAATAAATAATCAAACCGAAATGTAAAATTTTGAACCAAAAGGTTTAGTTAGGTCGGCTTTAGTCGCTATAGTGCAATCTGATAATCATTAATGTGCAATTTGTCTAACACTATTGTGCACTTGCAGTGCAGACATTTTTAACGATTTATCACAAACCAAACTAAAATAACCAGTTTATTCGATCGGTTAACGAAACTACCCTATATAGTCGAAATAATGTATTTTTTATATTATAAAAATAATTTTGGTATTTTAATATTTATATTTAGTGTTTTATATTATTTTTGGTTGAAATACATAATATATAAAATATCAAACTTATAATGTCCATTTCGTCTGACATTATTGTACAATCTATTGATCGGGTATTTTTTTATGTGCATTTAAAATTTAGAGACATTAATAATATGTATTTTCATTAATGTTATTTTATATTTATCAAATTATTTATATAACAAAGATATATTTAGTATTTATAAATTTTATTAAATATATTTTTTCTTGAAATAAATAATATATGTAGAGATTGGATTTTGAGTTTAAGTGAGTTATTTTGAATAAAGTTGGTTGAATGAGTCTCTCGCGAAATAAGAAAAACCTAACCCCTAATTCGTCGACGTCTTCCTCAAATTCATAGTTGTTTTGCCTTCCTCGGCGATGGCGGGGCTTCGGCCAGTAGTCGTGCTCGGCCCATCCCTGTTGTCGTACGCCTCTGATTTTGCGGCTACTGGTGGCGGATTTTGCCGGCTTCTCTTGTTCCGACGGGCTTGTGGGCTCTGGTCGCCGGTCCCTTGTCTGCGGTGGTGTTTGGTCGGGGTGTAGGCTAGTGGGTGGGGCGTGACTCCGACGGCGGCGATGTCTTGCGTCGGGGCAGTCGGA